TCAGGCCGTGACCCACCCGCCCGAGAGGGTCGAGGTGGCGAAATGGGTGCAAGCTTGTTTCATCCGGATGTGATGTTTTTGTCGCACTGCTTGTAGGGGTGTAGGGGTGTTGAGCATCATGAAACACCTGCCAGGCGCTTGTCGAGCAGAAAGATTGACTCGTCGTCCGCCTCCACAGGTCGAAGAGACCGTAGCCGTAGCCGGGGCAGAAGAGAGGCACCGTCGCATGGCTACCTGCCCCCGGGGTGAGGGACTCAGAGCCGCGGCTGGTGGGATTGTGGTCCAAAAGCGGTTCAAGGATGAGTCGGAAAGCAAGATTCGGAAGCTCCCACTGGGAAACCAAAGATCGGAATCGGAAACTATTGTTCGGAAACCATGAGCAAGAACATATGAACAAGACAATCCAAAGCACTCCAGGCACTCCAGAAAAGGACTTCAGTGACTTATATAAGCATTTTATGGGTTTGCGCTGCCAACAAGCAGCACAATTGAAAGCCTTCCTACCAACCACTTCGTGACACATTGTGCATTTTTTCTTTGCGATGTCAAGATGCATCAAATTGGTTCCAACCGTCCACCGATGCGTTTCCGCTGGGTGCGTGCGTGCGTCAGGTATGGGCCGCCCACCGGCTATGCGCCACCACCTGGCTATCCCTATGGCCACCCGACCGGCAAACGGCAAAGAAGGACATAATTCATGATTTGATCTAATTTGTAGATTTGAGATCCAGCAAGTTTGTACAAACCACTTCAACATATTTTTTTAATATGATTTTTATATGAACGCCAATACAAGCAAATTTATATAATATAAATTTATGACATCATTAACGAGTAAAAGTAAAAATAGATTGGCCCTGTGAACAAACCATACATTTGTCCACACCATGTTTCATAATCTTTGTTTTTCTCCATATATATTTTTTTTTTTTTAAATCAAAATTTATGAACAAGACATGCTTGTTTTTTTTGTCAACAAACTATGAACCGTGGTGGTATGTATTTTTTTCTCTTTTTTAAATGAAATCAGGACTGTCGGTAATTTTACAAAATTCTATTTCAGTTACAGACACACCTGATTTCATTTTAAAAAATACAATCATACAACTTTGAAAACACATATTCACATATTTTTTCATAAATTTCGATACAATATGAAAGCAATATGAAAAACATATGAACATTTTATGAACAAAACTAATATGAACAATGGTATGGACAAATTTATGGTTTGTTCACAGGGCCAATCTATATTTACGTTTCTTTTCTAAATGATTTCATACATTTGGTGGTATTGGTTTCATTTTAACAAAAACATACGTATTGACATCATAAAAAGACAGTTTCAATGATTTGGCCTCATACCAGACTTGTTAGGTCTCAATTGTAGATGTTTAGAAGTGTTCATGTCCAAGTCCAAGCAACTCAAAATTGGGGCGGGAGAATCACGCACGTGTTCGATTCACTTTTGCAGGCTTGTGGGTCCTGAACTGTCTCTTGAGAGACGGACTTCTTCCCCACATGGAGAGACTGTCTGACTGACGAACTTCTGCACCAACCAGCTGCTTCCAAGCGGTCAGCTTGTGGGGTTGGCCTCAGGTGGTACAGGACTTCCGGTCTTCAACACATCTTGGGTGTTGTCCAAAAAAATTCTAGATGTGTTCTTTTGATTTCGTTTCAGGATTGGGAGGGAGAGAGAGCAAATAAGAACAAGGGGACTGGGAGCATTGGGGAACTCTTCAAGTTTCTTTTTCTCCGTTCTGTGGATTCTTTTTTGGGGGTGGGATAGCATAGTTTTTCTTAGCTACTAGATGCTAGCTCGCACGGACGCAGTTTTTGCAAGGGTTCTTCCAGGAAGCGAACCCTCGCCTGTGTGAAACGAAGTGTGGATATGCGCCCCATCGTCTCCAGTCCTGCAGCAAAGCAGGACCTTTCCTTGGCCTGTGGAGTCCTGTGGATACGTTGAGAGTGAAGAAATTCGTCAAAGATATGCATTGGGTTTGTCCTATTACCTGTAACATCATCATCATCATCATCATCCACTGTTACTGGTAATAGGATAGACCCAACACACACAGGGTTGCTCAAAAACAAGAGGATCTTACAGTAAGAAGACGCGAACATTTGAGAGCGGCCATTCCTGACATGTCTGTGTGAACCCTCTGAAACCGTTCTCTGATTCTTCCAGGAAATTGTTTTGTTTTTCCTTCCTTATTGATCCATTTGAAGGAAATAAAAATCGGAACACCACACATTAATGAATGGTTTTATCAATTTCTATCCATTTCATTGTTTTGTTTTAACTATTTCTTCTTTTGCTGAACACCATTCCGGGAATTGGAACGAACGAGGCTACCCTCCACCGGGTTATGGAGCTGCTCCTCCACCAGGCGCGGTCAGCACGGACCATTTCACACAAATTCCGCGGGGGTTATTTGCTTTCAGATCTGTCCTTTTAATATCTTTCAATCAACTCAACCTTCCACCTTTACCTTACTTCATCTTGTCCCTCGTGATGATTCTGGTCAACCAGCTAGTCTGAGGCTATCCAGCATACGACTACTCTTTGGCACAACCAGCAGCACAGGCGCGGAATGATGCAGGTATGCGCGCCAGTGCTCCTTTAGACAGCAGGGACATTATCATTTGCAGAAGTTGACATCAGAATTTCATGTAATCGAAGTGTGTCACATCCAACAGCTGTGCGGGCTGACGAGAGGATGCTGTCACAACCTGGCAGGCCCCACCGCCTCAACCTGCTGGCTATCCGCCTCCGGCTGGCTATCCTCCAGCTGGCTATCCAGGTAGCTCGAAGAAGTGAGTGTACATGAACTGTGGACGGTGAGTGTCACATCGAGGGCTTCAAGTCACAGCTAGCTTCTCACCGTGACTGTCCGAGTTTTTCACACTCCTCCCAGATGTTGAACTCGCAGTGGCCTCGCTTGTTCAAACCGCAGGTTATCCAGCAGGCTATCCACCACCAGGCTATCCGCCGGTGGGGTACCCACCTGTCTGAGAGGATGCCAGGTAGCCATGGAAGTCCTGAAGAAGTCCTGACATTGGCGGAAGGGAGTCAAACATAAGGGATGTCTTTGGAGTCCAACATACAGTCCCTGTACAACCAGGGATGTCTTTGGTGTCATTGGGGTATCTCACCGAAACAACAAATATACCATTATATATACAATATTATCGTAGACATACGGTACAAGAACATGTCAAACAAATCGTGTCTTTTTCAGCATTTGTGCGATCATTCCCAAGACCTTTGGGCTGTTGTTACTTCTGAGCTCAGCAGAGAGGAATTGACATGTTGCTTTTGGACTTCTTCGGGAAGAAACCCCGCTAGAGCAAATGGTGGTCAAGCTGAATTTCACAGAGGGTTTCAGCTGAGAACTGACAGTGTTGTGGGAAGAAAGCGTGGTTGGCCACAGGGCAAACAAATGCAGACATCTAGCTTTTGGGGGGTCATGCCACCCTAAGCTTTGCTCATGTGCAATTCTTATGGACGCAACATTAGGCAGCGCCTAGATCAGCTGTTTTCAGATGTCCGCCGGGCCTGACCAGGGCTGGAGTTGGGATCTGCGCAGGATCCGAACAAATGTTCTGCGGCAAAAGAGAGTGGGCTGTGAGCGGTGAGATTGGAATCACTCCCCGATGTAACATGTAAATCGGGAAACAAAAGGCAAATCATCATATGCTCCTTTGTCATTCCATCATTGCTGGGTCCTGGTTATGGTTCTTCTTGGTCATTCGCTTCAGGCCGCCAAAGGCCCCAGGTCAGACGAACGACCTTCCAATTCACAACGACCGGCATGCCGGAGCGCAGGGCCATGTAGGCGCCCAAAAAGAGATCGCCAAGAAGTAGAACCTCAATAACGTTGACACCTGATCTGTTGCCCCAATCAGAGGACACAAAGATCTGTAGAATCTGCCCCACTGGACCTTTGCCCAAACGACTTTGCTGTGTGCGGAGAGTTGGGCCGGAGATGGCGATTGCGCCGTGTGGATGAGTTTGCCCAGTGAGAAGTTTCAGCCAGATCGGGTCCAGAAGGATTGGAGGTCACGGGCAAGGTCAACCAGATGTACTTGATGCTTTGGGCATCAACATGAGGAGAAGTTTCAGCATGGAACCACTAGACCACGTGAGTCCACGTGACCACTCGACGTGACCGGAAGTTCTATACCAAGCTGTGGAACGTATTTGTTCGTTGTGCTGAGTGTCAGGACATCACCATCACTTGGAAATGTAGCATTTTTGTGGTTCCGAAACGGTTGCGCGGGTACCTCCAGGCGCTCTCCACGGTCTGGTTTTTGTTGGTTAAAAGCTTGAAGGTTCAAATATATATGTTTTTTGCAATAAAGGCGACACTCCGACGAACACGTCGACGTCACATGGATGTGGAAAATTGCTTTTCATTCGATGTTCCTCTTCGAAGAGTAGTTTTCCACTTCCATGAGACGTCAGTGTACAATCAGAGATCACCCGGATTTTCGTGGCCTAGCGCTGAAATTTGGACTTGAAGCGACCAGGATTGAACCAACCGATTCTCATGACGTGGCTGGACGACAGTTCTGATCCCTGCAGTGCAGTGGTCCATGATTCCGAGGTTTTTCTCCTCATGTCTATTGGGCGACCCAAACTGCCTGCCATGATGCAAGACGAGGTTTCATCGAGAAATCCCAGACAATTCAATCTACATTTTGTGGTTTGCTTCTCGGGGATTGTAGTGCGGATACCGGCGGGGTGTCATGGCAGGCAGAGGCTCGCTGTGAATGAAGCGAGGGAGTTGCTGGTTTCCTGCGATTTTGGACATGCGATTGATGCTTGGGGCACAGCCAACCAACAATCCTCACTGGACATCCAAACAGCTCACTGCATTATAAATTGTAAAGATACAGTTAGATGGCGCAGGAGACTAGCAGCAAGATTCTTTGGGTGTTCCACGGGATGTAGGCCTTGACGAAGGTTCCACTTGTAGGCTGGCAGATGTTCTCCTTTCCCAAGGACAGGATGAAACCGAGATGAGACTGAGACATGGTAGACTTGAGGAATTCACATCGGAACACTCACCAAGCCTCTTGGGTCACACATACTTTAGGAATTCCATGGAATCCCAAATTCCTTTGCGGCACTTACCGGAACTGAGCAAATGATCACCACAGAATTGGACCATAGGCGAATCTGCAGCACCCGCTTCCCGTGGGTCACGATCGGAGCGCTTGGTGATACCGCGACGATCTGCGTCGGTGAACGGGGGGAGGGCTGTGGGGGGCATCTGTGGGCTGTTGTCGGCAGCAGCCCACGTCGATGACCAATTCGTGCGTAGGCGAACCGAGCTCGGGGAACGTGAAGCCCACTTCGGTTTTCGACGGTGTCGAGTTCGGAGTGTGAGACGTGCATCTCGTTCTCGAGTTCGGAGCCCCTTCGGACCATGGAGTTCGGTTCGGGCGAAAAAAGGAACAAAAAGGGGGATCGCTTCGGTGCACTCCGTCGGCGACGGCCACCCTCTTCGCACGGAGGGCCTGGCCGTCACATGAGCCAATCTGGGTCCGGCGAAGCGCCAGTGAGCGCAGCTGCGTGTCCAACAATGTCAGGCCCTTTTGAACGGTGAATTGGACTCTGTTTGACTTCCGGATGGTGCGCCGAGAACTCCTTTGACTCACTTGGCCGAATCGCTGTGCTTGGCATTCAGGACATATGCAGGGTATGAGAAGTTGCTTGGTCAACTTGCGCGTCTGCACAGAGGGATGAAGGCAAAGTTCCAGTTTGCACCAGACACTGCAAGGTGCCAACTGGAACTTGGAAAGCTCTTGCAAGACAGACACTGCAAGCATTTGCTAAATCTATATATCGCAAGCAGTTGCTTCTTCGACACTGCACTGCTCCCGGCACTTGGTCGTCAATCTTTCCCTCCAAAGGGTTATATATTAAAGAAGAAGTACCAGACAGCTGCTCCGTTCTAGAAGTTCTTCCAAGAACGAGTAACTAGGACTTGTAGTGACTGACATCACTAAGATTTTGTCTGACCAAATGAACCTAGCACGTTGTCGTGCTACTTGACAACAGCATGCAGGCCCTGCCCGAGACGGCTCCGAATCGGGCTGCGAAGCTACCTGCTGTGAGGCACGTTGGACATCCAAGCAACAGAGAGAGGCACGTTTGTGTGTGTGACTGGCAGATGCGAGGCATCGGTGGGTTCGCTTGCTGAGATCTATATAAAGATCTATATCGGAGTGACAGCAAAAGGCATTGCTGTGAAAGCTCAAGAGTCGCTGCATTTTGGCTGGAGTCGCGCGTCACAGCCAGAGCCAGTGCTGAATCTGCACCGACACATGTAGAAAGCCAATGACCCAGCAGTGGAATCCCAGCATCCCGTGAACTAGCTACGTGAAGCGGAACTTCACGAACCGCCGACCTTGCCATAGATCCAAGGTGAGCCATTTTTCTGTGAAGACTCTGCGTAGCAACTCCAGGTCCTCACTCAAATCAGCCTTTTCTTTCAGTCTTCCAGTCTCTTTGGCCGCCATGTCGTACAAAGGCAACAAGAAATGGCCAGGGATGGCTTGAGCCTCAGTTCCGGATCCGGAGGGAGACCGAGGACATCCACGACGTTTGATGTCCGTTTTATCCGTTGTGGATCCCAAAACAAACTTCCCACGGTTTTTGACACATCATTACACATCATGACACATCCCACTAGTTGCTGTTGCTCGAAGCTTTGTGATCACCATGACATGGCAGGTCACCTCCATGCGGGACAGGAAAGCCGAGAAGGAAGAGAAAGAGAAGCTCTTGATACCTGACTGCAGTGGTGCAACCAGCTGGTCACATCTAATTTTTAAGCAAGTTGAGGGTCATTCTGGCTGAGCCTGTCCTCCCACGCACGGAAGTCTTCGTCCAGCAAGGAAGCGAAAAAAAGACGAGGAAGAACGGGAAAAGGCGCTGATGTTGTTGCTCACCAGACGTGCGATGTTAACGAAAGGGTGAGTAGTTGGTTGGTGCAGGTTGGATGGGACCTTTCCGCCTTGTGCCAGTGCACCAAAAACGCATGCTTCTTGTGGAAAGCAGCGAGGCTTTGCGCAAAAGCCAAGAAGAGGTGGCCCGCTTTCTGGAGCAAAAACAAAAGTGCCCTGGGGCAGATCTTGCCAAAGCAAGTGTTGCTAAGGGGTTCTTTCTGGAAAACACACGTTTGAGCATGCATTTTTCTGTTGAATGAGCTTGGATGTTAGGTACCCTGAGGAGTACAAGGAGCGTGAGCCAGTTCGAGAAAAAGCGAGCAGGCCGAAATTGTTGGAAACATGTCAGTCATGCGACATGTCCACTGCAAAAAGAGATGTAAAGGACTTCAACCGACTTCAACAGCCAAAGCTGGGCCTAGTGGAACAGCTTTGGCTCCCACTTCACCGGTTGCTGGGGTAGCGTTGTGATGTGCGATGGCTGTGCCTCTGGAGTTCCGTGTCCCTGTTGTTTCTCGCACGTGTGACCCAAGTCCCACCTCCACACGCAACTTACATGGTTTCACATGACATATAGAACATTCATATAATAAACATAGTATGTGGATATATGTGGCACGGCATATATATATATTATATAGAACGTGCTTGGAACTTGTGGAAAGCAGGTTATGTTTCAGGAATACATTTCACTAGCCAAAATGCTATGCCATTTTGGCTCAAGCCTGCGAACTCAAAGTGAACATTTCCTGATCTCTCCCCTCATTCAATTCCTTTGCAGCCATGTCCGCCCGCCTCCGGCTCTGGAATCTTTGACTGGGACCTCTTGGAGGAGGCACCTTCGGTGACCTCTTTCACTCTCGACCCTGCTGAGGCCGAGGAAAGGGAGAAGGAGATCGGCCGCTTTGAGGAGACCATCCTGGAAGGAGCTGGTCGTGCCGCTGACGCGTTGGCCGGCTCCTCCACGGAGCCCTCGGCTTTGGAAACATCCGGGGACTCGCACTACGTCAAGTGTGAGCTACTTACTCAAGATGCCCTGCAGGCCAAGATGAAGGAGATGGATGAAGCTATGGGCCAGCTGCGGCTTTCCCCGCCTCGGGGTGCAGACGCCGCGGGCTCTGAAGCACCCCTGGGTGAGGTGCTGCGGCGGTGGCGGATGGGACCTTGAGCACTCCTACCCCTGCGGCGGCGGCTGTGGATGCGGCCCATGGACATTGATCCTGCGACTCCTCCATCCTCGGCGGCGCCGGTGGAAACCTGGTTGGGCTTTGTCATCCAACCGGTTGCTACAACCACTATGGCAGTGGAAAGGAGCCGTCAAATCCAGCGGAAGACCAAGCCGGCTGCTACTCTTCTCAGTGGGCTTTCTGCCCCCCTCCGCCTGGCGAGGTGCCAGCGATGCCAGTGCCTGTGACTAAGGCAGCTACGCGGGGGGATGGCTCAGTGCTGAAGACCCCGTCCAGAAACAGGACGTCTGGTGGTTCCAACTTTTGTTGGAAAGATCCCACTTTCCATGGGTCTTGTTGAAGGCCAATCCAGGAGCCAACATCCCCTCTTTGGAGATGCTGGGCTCTCTTCTTTTGGCATCTTTCCTGATGGAGAAGGGGGTTCGCAATAGACTTCAGTTCCGCATACCGTTGATTTCGGACAACCAGGGCAACATCTTTGCGATGCTGAATCAATCTACTCGGAAAATGCCGACGGCGGGAATTCTAATGCAGCTGGTCCTCTCACTCCACCAACAAGGCTGCCAATTGGCACCACCTTCTTATATGAAATGGGACTTGAACACTCGGGCGGATGAGCTGATTCACCCTGATCCGCATGGCTTCAATCCGGCGAAGCGCCTTCGCACTACTGCTCCCTTGAAGAGCTACACACTGATGAATTGGGTGTTTCATGAACTTTATCCGACCACTCCTCCCTCATAGGTGTAGGGACAGGCGCCGTGGGCCCTGAAATCCCGAGCTGCGCAGGAGGGAGGAGTGGATATTTTGTGTAGTTTTCTAACTCATAGTGCACGACACCCATGGACCCGTTCTCCGTCAGGGTGCTTGGTGTCGTTTTTCCTCCATGGTTCCGGGTTGGTCAACTGGGATCGGTGGCGGTTTTGGTTACCATCCCAGTCTGACTATTTTAACATACCTGATCCATGGACGGAAAGCTAACCAACTTGCAAAAGGTTGCGGTGCCTCTTTTGCTGCCTTGGTTACTAAAACAAATGCATATATGTATATATACACGTACTCTTATAGCTATAGAGTCTCGTCGTATGGTCTAGATGCCATGTCATATCTCAAAGATAGAGGTGCCCCCCCTCAAAACGGCATTTGACGGTCTCCATGTCACACTTTCGCCGGTCGTTCCGGCGGTTCCGGCTGTTCCGCTGTTCCGTTCCGCCGAGGCGGAGGCCGAGTCCCGAGCGTGCCGAGCGCCCCGAGCGTGCCGAGCGTCCCCGACCTAGACGGGAGAAGAGCCAGGACCGGGGTGCGGCGTAGCTCAAAAGGAAGGGAAGAAGATGGAACGTATCTTGCGGATTTGTGGCTCAGGTTGAAACGTGCTGATCCCCAAATATGCAACTTGCTGTGGATCAAGATGAGAAGAATGGACCAGATTCTCTCAGAGGCTTTTGGCAGGGTAGATGAGGCTTGTTTGTTGACTCATTTAGAGATGTTCTCCGATCTTTTGGTTCATCTTGGAACCGTTTTGGGTCATGCTGGGGAGCTGAGGGCGTTTGGCGTATCTTCGGGTGAAAGGTTTCTGTTGAAAACACTTCTTTGTTGCTTGCAATCTTTTGTGGCGCAACCCGGCAACCAGAACTAGACTGTCGGAAATGAGGGGGTTTCTCCCGTTTCTCAAACTGAGGGCAAGAGGTAGACGGTACCGAACCATGGCCCCTATCCTTAGACAGGATAGACAGACCCAACTAGGGATGACTTGAGATCGCAGGAACGGAGACACGCCAAAGAGAGGTGCTGCCATGCGAGATCAGGGGTCAAAACTGCGATAGACTGCACGACATGACAAGGAAGGGAAGGATGGTCTGTCTACCGGGATTTGGAGATCACCGGGTGTTTTCGTTTCGTTTTTAAAGGAAGGACTTCAAACATCAACGAAGGCCATGCTAGCTACACACATGAAAAGGCTTCACTATTTTCACACCCGCTGCATCCGTTTTCAAGGCATCACCTCCTTCAGAAGCTGGAACGATTTGCAAGTCTTTGCCAATCAAGCTGTGAGTTTTTGGACGAGTCACTTCCATTTGGGCCATCAAAGACGGTGCAAGTTGGCTCTCAACTTCACCACAAGTCAGTTTGCGTTTTTAACTCTCCCTCTCTCTATGTACACATACTATATAAATACTATACATATATAGAAACACTTATATATCTATTACCACGCCCAATCGACCGAGGGCCGCTCCCTCACCTCTTTCCGCCTCGCTCCGCACCTTGTTGCCAGGTCTCCCGAGCGCCGCAGCCGCTCCCCGCCCGATGTCCGGCGGCGCTCGGAGGAGGCGCCCTTTTGGCTGGGTTGGTGCCACAACGTGTGGTGAGAAACCCAACGACATCCGTTGAAGATGATGATGCACCCCGGACACCGGTGCTCGAACGATCATCGGCGGCTGGCATGCGCCAGGTGCCTCGGCGGCCCGCCGAGCACAGCCGAGGGGCCCGGAGGCTGGGCCAAAGCGGGCGGCTGGACTTGAACAGACCTTGCATTCTGAGGGATTCACATTGATTCACCTTGTTTCCTCTACCCAAGATGATGCCAGAGACTGATGCCAAGATGGTTGGGTACCTCAACATCTAGTTGAAGATGAGGATGCTGGAGTCCACTGCAGCTGTTGATGACTGCAGCTGTTAGTTGAGAATCTTTGGGTTCATGGAGCGACGATGGTGGGACATCCTGATGCGATTGACGTTTAGTTCTGGGCGCGGTGTGAGCGGGGTGATCCTGTGCATGAACCGGTTTTCCTCGTTTAAGACGTTGGCAGGCGATTTGAAGAAGCTCTGCGAGAAGAAGAAGAAGCCGCAGGAGGGCCAAAATGCAGAAAACACCACGGGCAGATCAGCTTCGCGGTGAGGTCCAGAAAGCAATCAACCACTTCCAATCAAAAGGGACTCTGGAACTTCCAGTGGCTTTATAGGGTCGACACCAGGTGACAGCGAAAGATATGCGGACCGCTCCGCCGTCCGGCGGCCCAAGGCAGTAGGAGTGGGGGTTTCCTGCCAATGGCCAGGAGGACTTCTTGGGCAGAACATGATCAGTCAATGATAAGTATGATTCAGGCTTTTCCATGCCTTTGCTCATTTTCCTTTCTGGTGGTATGGGGATTGGCTGACTTGGCGCACACTGGTGTGCTCGCTTGGCCGCTGACCTGACCGGCTTTTCCTTGACTCAGGCTGTGGGTTCCTTGGAAGAGGATGAGGGGCGTTGGATCTCCTCGTCATCTGGCAAGTGAGAGCCTGAGGGCGTGGGGTTCCAGCAATCCACCAATTTTTTGGGTGTTCTGAGCATACTGTACAGTTCTGCCAAATGGGAAAGTTCAGGAACATTCTCTGCCGGGCCGGGTGACGCAAGGTTTGTCGACAGTAGGACCAGTAGGCAAGATTTGAAGAGACCACCTGTGCAGCTGAGGGACGATGCAGGTGGTTGGGTCCGAAGCCTAGTTTTGCTCTTTGACATGGAACATGACCTGCTGGATAAGGTTTCGGCATCAGTAATCCGATCGATGCAGTGATCAAGCAGATCGATGTTGTGATTCGGTCTTCAGGTGGTGTCCGAAGAGGCCACTCAAGAGTATGAGGCGGCCAAGCGCCAAGCAGCCCAAGAGAAGCAGAAGCGTTTCGAGGTGTGGGGGGAGTTTTTACATGTTTTTGCAGGTTCGGCTTGACAAACGCATGTTACTTTGCTGGCACAAGGAAGGCAGCACTCATATGCATGAAGATTCTTAGTGACTTCTGGGTTGGTTGATACTATGTTGTACGTTCAAGTATTCAAGTGAAAGTGTTCAGAGTTTAGAGGTCTTGCAGCCTGCAGTTTAACACTACGTTTTCAAGGAGGAGAAGAGAAGAAAAGCGAAGCTTGCCAATGCATTTGCCTTTGGCAACGAAGATGATGATGACAAGCGAGAGCAGGAGACAGTGGCAGGGTCAAACCGGTAGATCGCTTTAGCTAGTGTTAGCCCGCCTTGAGTCTTGCAGCTGGAAAGCAGTTGTGGAAAACTGTGGAAGCAATGATTGAACCAGAAAGAAGAACAGTTGTAACGCTATGCCGTATACCGATTATGAACAACTGTTTGCAATAGCTCTATTGAAGCTAGGAAATTGCTTCTAACTCCAAGGCACTTTAGGCCCTTTGCATTGGGTCTTTGGGTTTGAGGAGCGCATTGCCGCTGCCAAGCAAGCTGCAGCTTGGCTGAAGTGGAGCTTTTTGAGCTTCTTTCCTCGAGCTGTGGTGAACAGCAAACTGTGTTTTGAAGAACCCTGAGTGATACATAATTAAGAAGAACACACTGGCTTTCAGAGAAAGGACATCTACGTCTCGTCTGACCCCAAATGCTGGAGACAACGGATGACTCCAATGATGCGAGGCACAACAATGGAAGCAGGAGATGGCCTCCCGGGCACGTCCTTCTCAAGCAGATGTCCATGGCACTCGGCCTCGCATTGTGTGGCGCTGAGACTCACGCGCTGAGATACACCGGACTCACGACTTGGACCTGTCACTGCCGTTCGAAGGAAGATCATCGAACGGAGCTGCTTTTCGATTGTGCATTGCTTTTCTCGATCTCCAGTGAAGAGAATCGGGTTGAACTCCCAATGTTGCCCTTGAACCCCGCATTATATGACCCCATGCCTTTGAGTTGCTATGCTAGGTGGGGTAACACCCCACAAGCACCATACCACAACCTCCAAGTTTGCAATTCAAGGACATGTACACTGCTTTGAAGATGATTGCCGACTTCAAGCGGAGTTGCAATGGCAAAGCCAAGCCAATGCCTCCAGAGATTGTCCGTGGCCCAGTCATGCAGCCATACTGCTTGCTGTTCCTCGAAACTCGAAACCTACACCACACAACCAAGGAACATGCCCCAACCGAGGAACTGCTGTGCATTTTTGGGACGTACCCGATCATGATCCTACTGTCTTCCAATAGCGCTGCGGCTGATGAAGTTCAACCCTTTCTACCCCAAACCAACTTCTTGCCTCGCAATCTAGGACTGCCCGGAGTGTTTGGGGGCTGAGCACAAGCTTTCATCCTAATGATGTAGGAAGCGCAATGCGCTCTGGATACCCTTGCATGGTTTAAGAGCAGTCTGAATTCTTTGGGTTTGATACCAGGGAAGAACCCCCACCGGTTGCAGTGGTACAGCAGCGCCTCGCACACTTCTTGAGGTTGAAGCCACGGCCTCTTGGCAGCAGGGCAGTGAGTACGTTTGTAGAGTTGACGACACAGGAGGGGATGACCGTCCATCATAAATTGAAGCTTGCTAGTCCTTCCTTGCTTCATCATCAGGCATTTGTTTCCGGACTCAAACGGTCAAAGGAAAACACAAACCGAGGCCATTGTCACTGGTGCGCCAATGCCCTCAGGAACAATCTGACTGATCATCAGTAGTCATCCTTGATGATGTGCAGAGAGTGAAAGCAGAGGCCACCAAAGCCTTCTGACTCCAGGAATGTGTGGAGCTGCGGTTGTGGATTCCAATCTAATGTTCAGATGCACAATGATTCACAGCAACATGCGGATGCCTGACCCTGGCTTTCTGTGCGGAAGAGGGTTGCACGTGCGAAGCATGTCTCACACCGGGGAACCGATGGGTTCATAACCAGTGGAGCCCCTTTGCCACCTCCCTTTCTCAGTTTATGTTTGTGCTGCACTGTGAGACCTGTTTTTGAATGATTTGACTGTTTATTTTGACCCTTCGCAAAGCTGTGCCATTGTCATTCTTACATTCTTCACATCTTTAAGTAGATCACAGTGAATGCTTCACCATCGGGCCCGCTCCGGTTTCGTGTAGCCTGAGTTTGCACTCAGCCGACCAGAAAGCGATTTGAGAAATCATGCACAGTCTGTAGGCTTCAAGCAGAGCAGTATGCAAAGGGTCGCAAGCACAGATGAGATTCGATATGAGCACAGAGATGATCTGGAAGAGACACATCCATGTTTGCCCAGATCATGTGGAGCCGTCTCGTGGGAAGGCAGAAGATCCTGGAGCGCCTGAAGCTCCAGGCTGCTGCCCCTCCGGTCGCACCGCCGCACTTGGCATTGGCCGTTCCCAAAGATCCGCCCGAAGTGCCACCGGTGGTGCCGCCCACGCCTGACGAGCGTTTGGAGCAGTTGAAGGCGGCCGGGTCACGGCTGACCGTGGGCTTTGGGAGTTTGGTAGCTAAGCTGAAGCAATAGATGGTGCAACTTTCATCAACTTTCCATGTAAGCCGTTGCTGAAGCAAACCTGCGGGAAGTGGACTGTTTGTAGCCTCCAAGCGATGTGAACGATTTTTCGCCAAGCAAGAGGTGGATGGCACAGAGCTCTGTGGAGATGAGGACCGGACCAGCTCAGCTCAAGTTGTGTTTTCATTTGACCAGTGCGTGTCGCTGTTTTACGGTTTATCAGGCCGAGTTCCTGTTTATTTACATGGGTGCAGTATGTATCGGAGACGAAAGAACAGCATGAGTCGACAATGTTCGATCAAGCCAGGAGTCACACGTAACTGTCACGTGTGCTTAATTTGTATACTACACATAATGTGAAGTAACTGTGACATGTGTATATCAGGAAAGCCAGCCGGTAGGCAGGGCTTGAGGTTGTTGGAGCGAACGAAGTGAGTAAAGGGGGTGTGCGGGGGGTGGTTGCGTGGTGGCCAATTCCGGAGAGGTGAATTCAGAGCCTGGTGGGGAGCGACAAAAAGAGGCGGGGCACTTGGTAGTGAAAAATGAGTGGTTTGAGGGGTGTTGTGATGCTGGTGATGTAATTGACAGCGAAGAGTGCATCATCAGCATCACGAGGGGTTCAGGAGGCCATGGAAAGAGAACAGACTGTAGTTGCGGCTAAGCTTAGTGTTGCTGTCGGGCTGAAGAGGGCAGTTCTTATGTGGTGGGATTTCTCGTGAAGTGGGGGGTTGTTGAGGGCAGGAGAGAGAAGAGAGTGCGTGATGTTATCTGTTGAGGGCCTGTGAGAGAACTGAAGAGGGCCCTCCCTATGTGGTGGGAGTTCACGTGGATTGGGGGGTTAGGGCAGGAGAGAGAAGAGAGTGCAGCGGGCAAGCGTTGGAGGCGGAAGGTCCTGAATAGCTTCCGGGTGCCCTTTTTTATCCGTAGCAAGGTCCAGTTGCTGGACTCACAAGGGCACCCCACATGGGGTGCATGATGAACCGGACTGAAGAGGGCACTCCCTATGCGGTGGGAGTTCACGTGGACTAGGCGGTTGTTGCAGGCAGGAGAGAGACAAGATTGCAGCGGGCAAGCGTTGGAGGCGGAAGGTTTTGAATTCCTTAGGGGTGCCCCTTTTTTTCTCCCTGGCGAGGTCTAGTTGCTGGACTCAAAAAGGGCGTCCCATATGGGGCGCGCGATGCCATCTAGCCGAGGACATGCGCGAGAACGGCTTGCAGCGGGTAAGCAATGAATTGCTGAGTTGCCAGACTGAACATGCCACTCTACCTATATACATATATAAATAGTAATATATATATATATATATATTCATGTATATGTCCTCACGAAAGCCTGCCGATAGCCTCGCCCGCGACCGTCTCTGCTCACTCATTACCAACACATAGTGACGAACTCACACAACATCTTGGAGGATGCCCTTTTTCACCTCCACAACACTTCTGAACCCAGACGAAAAAGGTTACGCCTTTTTAAACTACCATCTATTTCTACCTCCTATCGCGTACTTGCGATGCCAACTTCACCCCCCACACACGTACTCTTTACATAATGTTAGCAAGCGCGCCTCACTTCCTGAGGGGTGCCCTTTTTCACCTCCAAATCCCCCCTTGAACCGGGACGAAAAAGGGCACCCCCCAAAAAACATTGGTAAAATGGGGGTTCTGGGGAGTTTTGGTTCATCAATCACCTCGTTGAATTTTCTTGGCTCTTGAAAATTTGTGCTGAGCCTTTGTCGTTTTTCTGGGGTCTTGTTATGCGTGTTTTAGGGTCATAACTTTCACTTCATTGTTTGGATTGAATGAAGGGGATAATTGTTGAGGTGGTCAGAGTTTCTATGTGTAGGTTCAGGTTCAAACTCTACCAAGTTGTTCTTCAAAGATGTCGAATTATTTGCTTCAAATTCATGTATTGATGGAGGTTAGGCGCTGTTTTCGTTCGTGAGGTTTGACATTATGAAAAAATATATAAACCTCACGGGCAAAAAAAAATAATCATTGATTGTGGTAAGGAACTCAACCGTGATGGAGAATTCAATGCTATGATTATAAACCTAACTCTTCTGTCAATAGCAATGGATGAACTAAACGATGCAAACAAACCTTGTCTAACACAAATGAGAGTCATTGAACACTGGTGGGATGGAATAGCAAAATGGAAAGCGTAAGCGCGATTAATTCATAATATCTTAACTAAACATATTATGAACTAATCCTTTAAACACAAACCCCCACAACAAGAGAACCCCCTAAAAACATTTAAAGACATAACCCCTTAAACTTCTAGGGATACAATGACTGACAAAAAAACAATGTTCCAAATGTAAGGTCTTTCAACCACTCAACTATTTCAAAATGAATGTAAGCAATGTAAATTGTGCCTGGAAGCAAAGCAACGATACAGGGAGAAAAACCGCAATAAATTAAGAGAGTATGCAGACAATACTACTATAGCAAAAATGAACAAACACATCAGTATGTCCGGTGTGTGAATGCATCATAAACACATATCAAGTCAAACGACACGAGGAAAGCATCAAACATCAAAACAAAGCAAAAGGAAAATAACAACCGAAAATTATAAGAAATGGAGAGGATGATGAAACTGGCATTATGGGAATATAAACCCAACACCCAAACCACAACCAACAAAACAAATGAACCTAAACAATCAGGTTGAATTACAGCAGTGATAGTGAAAGTTATGACCGTTAAATATTAAACATGCATAACAAGACCCCAGAAAAACGACAAAGGCTCAACACAAATTTTCAAGAGCCAAGGAAATTCAACGAGGTGGTTGATGAACAAGAACTCCTCAGAACCCCCATTTCTCCATTTTTCCCCCCAGACCTATGTCTTCTACTGTCCATTTCTACCCCCTATCAGTGTGGCTGCGATGTCAACTTCGCCCCATGAATTTAATCTTTGCCCGATGTTACCCCATCACTTCCTCTTGCGCGCCAAGTCTTTGCCCGGGCCAACCCTGAGAGCACCCCCTAAGCCAGAGGCTGGCTTTCGTCCCCTCCCTTCTCAGGTATATATATATAAATACGTATATATTTTGCAAGCGATCCTGTGTGGCGATCTGTGGAACTTCGCTGAACGACCTGCACGACCCTTCTCGCGCTGCGATGAGGCATGGTTTGCAGACACTCAACTGCGAGAGGGTCTGCGTGCGGCGGTCCGTGAGGCGCTCCAGGGACCAGAGAAGTCACTCAACTGCGATCTTTCGCGGCTAAAAAAACACGGAGAGATGTCATGTTGCCGCAGCAAATGGTGCTGGCAACAGATGGTTCAGGGTATTTTTTTTCTTCTTCGATTGCTACATATAGCTGCTAGCTAATTATGGCTGTAAATGATCCTTGTCACTGCTAGATGCTGATAGACATGAGCACAGTCACCAAACCAAATGCCCGTACAAGTCACTGTACAAGAACAAGATCTGGCATCCGCACTCGGACGGCGGTCCCGGTGGGTTCGATGGCCCCGCGACCCGAGATGCGAGAGGCCCACCGAGAGCAGAAGATCTTGATGGCCTCCGCAGCTGAGGAGGTCTCCCGCATTGCCGGCGAGGCGAGGGACGGCGAGAGTGGGCATTGTGCGGCGGCTTCCGAGGGGCAATTAGGTGTGGGGCAAATCACATAGAATCACCATGGATCCGGAGCGCTCAGAGAGGTGAAACTGAGTCAATTTTGACAGAGATCAGCTGCTTGAACATTGGGTTGGGTGGTCTCCTATTGGTTTCCAAGTAAAGTTTGGTTCACAAGAATCATGGAACAGAGTTTCTATGGTAAGAGCAACTAGATCCAACATTACGGGAGGGTTCGACTGCCATTGACTTCTGATCCTGGCACATGAGCAGTTGGTTTGCCAGACCTGTATCGCAGGATGTCCCAATGATCAGCTTGAACATGCAAAGGCACTGATGTGTAGAAGAAAATAGACTCTTCTTTTCTTTTCAAGACAAGACGTGTCACCACTACGTTGACCTCAAATCACAAGTTGATCCGTCTCTCTTTGCTTCTTTGCGCTGGAAGTGCAGGGCGGCTTTCAGCGCCCCTCGGCCTTGGCGGTCTTGCGACTGGGTGGAGCTCAGCTTGGCGGCTACGGTGAGGCGCATTTGGGTGGTGCACTGTGCCGGTGATTTTGGCCGAGGAAAACGTAATGTGGTGCGTGCGCGGCGTGAGCGTTGCGGCCCAGCACTCTTCGGGTCCAGCAGCTTTGTACAGCATCAAAGAGGGGTGTGCGGTGTCCGCCCACCCGCCTTCTGCAGTATCCCCACAGGTACCCGAGGTGACCAAACTAGGTAGGCACATCTAATCTAGTGTTTGCAGTTCACTATCCAAGCAACGAGTGGCACTGCCAATGTTGACAACGCAAAAAGACCGCTGAAGGAATCGGGCTGTGATTGCAATGTCAGGGTCAGCAGCAAGTGAGAAAGTGGATGCTGTACAAAACAAGTGAAACAAACTTTCCCAGTCTGGGTAAAAGCACAGTAGCGCAACGCAAGCTTTGAGAGTACATGTGAGTATGCAGTGAGAGGGGGCCACGAGGTGTGAGCCACCAAGCCCGGCTGTTTGACCCCCCCCCCACACCTCTCTCTGTTCACACCTGTGGAACCGGCTCATGCCATTGCGTTTCGAGCCTTGGTTCCCGATACAGCTTCAAGATCCAGAGGCAAAAAGACGAACACCCGTCCGCCGCTTCCATGTGGGATGCAGGCGCAAATCCCTTTGCAAGCTGTAGGTCTCTAACTGGGTGGGTTTTGACTCTGTAAGGGTCTGGAGGACCACCAACTGACAGACACGTGTATCACCAGCTGGCTATGGCTGCTCAGCCATAGCCAGCTGAAGCACAACCACCCTGCAAGCATGCAATCAACCAACTTTTGTTGCGGTGTAGCAGTGAGCCGATGTACCGCCAGCCTTCAGGCATGTAGGTCGCCAACACTTTGCCCTCATGTAGCAGTGAGCCGAAGCACTTGCGGGTGTCGGACATGTAACCCACAGACTCTTTGTTGTGCTGCGGCAGGGAGCTGAAGCCGCGCCAACACGCAAACATTTCATGGGGCGTGAATGAGCTGAGAGGAGGCTGCCCCCCACTCAAGCAACGCAACTGTGGAGACTGGATGTCATGAGTCATGAACACCCATCATGCAAAAGGGAAGAAACTACTCCCAGGGATCAGCCGGCCCCTGGTTTGAGCAAAAATGGCTTGAACCAAAATGGTTTGAACCAAAATGGCTACGGACTCATGACAAACAAACCCCTCTCATTTGGATGCACGCACTTGCGGTCCGCTCCCGCTTCCACTCGGTCCCTTGTCGCATTTTGCGACGGGTACTGGTGGATGTCCCCTCATTTGGATTGAAGCACTTCTTATGGTCATGTGGGGCTTTATCAATTGAGTCTACATTGAATTGGTGCTGGACGGCTTGTGACTTCAACTCTAGGACCTGTCAGTCTCAGTGCTTTCAAGGTCGGCTTCAACCTACAAAAATTTGATATATACATGGGTGCTGGATCCTTTTGCCTGATCCTCTAGGGGCTCTCTAGGATCAGGATCGGACTGGCCATTGTTTTTGTCAGACATGAACTTAGGAAACAAATGAATAGTGCGAGCGCTTCTTCAAGGAAGCTTTCCCCCCCGCCCTCAGGTGGCGGGAGAGCTTCCTTGAAGAAGCGTGATCTATTTTGTGTCCTAGCTAGTAGCCCGTTACTTATGTTTGGCCCTTACTTCATCAAGTAGGCGCTTACTTAAGTACGGGTGAGGGCAACGGGCAACGGGCTATAAAAAGGATATCTGATATCGGATAGACTGTCAAGAGTCCATTCATGGGTGGGGGCACCGTGGATAGACACACTGTCAAACTTCGTGGCGTCGTGGCGTCGGGACTTGTGGTGATGTGCCACTGAAGTCTACAATCTTTTGCAAATTCTGGGTGCCCCCAATTCAGGGTGCCACAGTTATGCAGATGATGGCAAATGACCACATTTTGGGACCAATGTCCACCACAGGTCGAGTCAGGTTTTTGTGAACTTTTCATGTTTTTTTGCGGATTGGGGGGCACCGTGTCCTTGGTGCCACAGGGAGACATCGCCTACTCTTTTCGCCAGCTGTCTGGAGCCCGGAGGAATGGCAGGGGCGCGGAAACATCAGCGGAGGGATCGATACCCGGAAGCGAATGTGGTGAAGAGTTTGTTTTACTACCAAATGTGGTGAAGAGTGTGGTTTCCATGTTGCACCCAGTGTTGCAACCAGGTCCAGGGTGCTTCATCCTGACAAGAATCCAGACTTGGCACAGGCTGACCAGGCCGTCGGGAGCGGACCCTTGAAAGAGGGGCAGAAAAGTGCAGACGTTGAAAATTCTCAACGTCAATCTAGATGCACCGGAGGTATTCTCATGGGTGGACTTTACTGAGCTTTAATGATTCCAGTGGGGGGCACTACGAATGCATTTTGCACGATTGGACGGAAAGTACATGTAGTTGCCCTTTGCAAGAGGCCACAACTGTAGGTACAGGATGGTACAGATGTGAAGGAATTGGCTGTGCAGGCGGCTGTTTGTCGCCTCCGCACGGTACTCTGACTGCTCGGCATCAAGTCGTGGACTGGGTGTAGCATCGACCTCCCAATGGAAGAGAATCGACCTCCCCTAATCAGAGCCTTGTACAACACTCATCCTGGATGATGAAACGTAGACCCCATTCTTAATGGACCCTCTTCTGCAAGACAGGCCATGCTCCATGTGGATTTGCCTCCATGATCAGGATTTGGACCCAAGCCCCCTGGCCACGGCTGTAGGCCTTTCATCGCCTCAGCGAGGCCGCGGATGAACTGCGCAAGGGCTTGCAGGATCGTTCACCCGCCTGAGGTCTCGAAGACTCCGACTAAAGGTTCTGATGGAAGTTTCCGAGACCACTTTAACATAGTTGAACCACTGGACACCTTGCACTGTCAGTGTTTTTGTTGGCTTTTTGCTTGGAGGATAGCACAGTCAAGCTGTGACAAAAGGATGGGCAAGGGCACGTAAAGTTAAGTCAAGAGCTGGTGTTCTTTGATGCAGGCAGGCACCTGCAAACAATTTCTAAGGAGAGAAAGGAGGGGATCCAACAAAAAGAGAGGGACACATATACTTCGGACAAAAGGTCGTGAACTGGTTCACAACCAGGTTGCTGTTCAGGGGCCTGCAAGTTGGTGAGTGGAACATCCATCACAGTTTTGAGGAGCAGCGGCGGCTCGTGATTTGGTTCGCCTCAGCCACAAGCCAGCAGGCCAGGTGGTAGAGCCCTGAAAGCAGAAGCCTTCGTTCCCCTCCACCAGACGGCAAAAACAACACAACACGCTCTGCCTCGGCTGCTGTTCATGCGAAAATCGCAGAGGTACCTGACAGTGTGATGGAAAGGCCCCAGGAACCACTGTTTGCGGAGGCGTGGCGGCGCGGCCATGTACGAACGAGGATGAAGAAGACGATGGACAGGAACAAGTTAGAGGTATCTGGATGCAATGGACTCTTTTCACATAAAGATATCAGAATATCCACCACCGGGCAATCCACGCAGTATGCGGGGGTTGATGACAAAATGATCCCGCTTCGAAACGGGTTGGATTTGAGAGTCCAATCTTGGTTTCCAGCCAGGCTTGCCGCCTGCTGACAGTGATTTGTGGCCTTGCAGGCTGGCGGTGCGTGAGGTTTTTCAGTAATGCATTGTTTGTCCTGAAAGCTTCTTAACTCACTGTTTAAGCATGGAACCAGGTTCACCAAGTTTGGATGGTCAGGACTTTATATGATTCGATTACCTACTAACATTTTGTAGTGGCCCAGCCACTCAGCCCAATCCCATGTTTGCGGAAAGAAACCTGTTTTGACCAATCACACACACATTTTGTTTGCTGCACCCATCCCTCATGACCCATCCCTCATGCGGCCGTGGGACAACACTAGAGACTCTAACTCCAAGTCTAGAAAACTGATCTGCAAGATGTTTTGAGGTAAAACCATCCATTTCCAATTCATGTTCGTTTCCATTCCTTCTGTACATGAGACCGGTGAGCTTTCATGTCCAGCCATGTCAACCTCGCGCAAAGGCGGAACAGCTTCCACGCAGGCGAGGGCCTGGTGACCATAGTCGCGCGTGGACGTGCGCTGTCCCTCTTCACCAGCACCTACCAGGCGGGCAGCAGGTGGATCGGGCCTGGTCTTTCTTCTCGGTTGGTTGATTTTGGATTGAAGAGGCAGGGATTCTGAAGGACTGCGCGCGAACTCTCTCCATGCGGGGCCTCAAAAGAAGCGCCTCTCTTCCTTTGCCGTGCTCCAGTTCTCCGCAGCCCCAATTCTCGCTCTGCAGGGCTGTCGAGCACCAGAGCTTCTAGGCCTTTGGTTTGACAGGTGCGCCTAGAAGGGGCTTCCGGGCCCTTCGGTTGTTTGCTGGAAGATGGACCAAAAGGGATTTGGACATACCCAAAAAATACCAAATGCCAAGTAACATGCAAAAGATCAGAAAGTCTTTAAGCAATGAGCCAAGATCAAGGGCAATACCTCACTGGGCAATTCTCCACTTTGGGTCGACTGGACTGGAGATGTCCTCGCCATTTCGTAGGCCTCAACTGCTGGAAGCGATGGCTTCGCCATCGATGCGTGCGCCTTCGACTCCGTGGCTCCCGTGAAGGGTCGACGTGGCCGGGACCAGGTTTTGGATTGTGACAGAAGAATCAATCGCCATGAAGATTGCATCTTGCACCAAAGTCGCACTGCAGTTTTTTTTTTTTTTTTTTAGGCTTTGCTGCGCCAGGTATTGCCTACGATTGTGCTGCTAAGTTCGACCCTGAGCACGAGACACAAAGCCAAGTCTCTCGACCCGCTGCTTGAGCTGCAGTGTGTCCTGCCGACCTGCCCTGAGGCGCTATCGAGCTCAGTTTCTTTGCCTCTTGAGCCGTGTGCTCGCGGTGGGCGCCTTGGGCTCTTGGGCTCTTGAGATGAGTCGCAGTACGCGCGCTGTCGATGCTGAGGCAGAAGTGAAACGAACTGGAGCGCTGGCCACTTGGCAGCAGAAGGCATGGAGAACGTAGACCGACAGAAAGAGAGAGAGAGAGAGAGAGAAGAATGTTTGCTCTAGGCACAACACTGCCAGTAGTTGCGTGCCCTTGAAACAGACCTGGGCGAAATCGCTTCTAAACATTGAGCGTTGCACTGAAACTAAGCCGCGTGATGGGTGGAAGAAGATTGCGGAGACCTTTCCAGAGCTGGTCTTGTGGCAGGACAGCGAGTCTTGGAAAACTGCCTCAGCAATTTGAGCCACCTGGAAAGCTCACCACATGACTCTATACTGCCCGCTAATGACATAGGAGTTAGCGGAAGTAGCTTCAAATCTGAAGTGCTACGTCATAATGGAAAAGCTGAAGATGCAAAAAGCAACACAAGACCTAGGCCATGAGCCTTTGGATAGAAACATCACAGAAATAGAGCCTAGCCGAGCCTATGGCGACCATTCATGTTGGAGTAAACAGGACACCATGACACAGGTTTTATGAAAACATTGCCACAAGTCACTTCAGGGCCTAAAGCCTAAGTCAGCCGCTTATATCAATATCAATGTCTATTTTGTATAATAATATATATAATATATATATACGCTGTCAAATCTGTGGGTCTCCGCTTGTCACATGTTCGATCGGCACTTGGAGAGAGCACCGTGTGGCCCTTTTGATCACTCAAGTCAGGGAGGGCGGGTGGCGACACTTCGGAGCCATCGGTGGACAGCGCAGACCTCGATCGCAGGGCGATTCGACCAGGAAAAGGTCTGCGCTGGGCTGGCTACGGTGGAGACGGTGCGGGGCACCTTTTGAGCCAGGGGTTCAGGAACCAAGGTGTAGAATTCAGGGGCTGTGTGATGGGCACCTCCGCTGAGACATCAGATGCCTCCGCACCTTTCCCCTTCACATTCTTTGCCTCACGTTTCAGGTGCGTCTTGAGCACATTCAGTTCATTGCTTGATTAGCGATTGAGCCCTTCACTCTGGATAGTTCTCGGCTGCCAATCTCGAATCGTGGAGATTCGAAATTGGTAGCAGAGCCGTGGGCGATCGCTGAGGGACATCCAGGACGAGTTTTGTTGTGAACAGTTGTGATCATGCCGGAATCATCAAAACATTCATCTACAATAGATCTTGGAGCGTCGTCTTCGTCGGGAAATCAACTTGCTGCATTGATCCCGACCTTTGACCCAGCAACAGATAGCCTTGAACAATGGACTCAAAAGATTGAACTGCTGACCACGGTCTGGCCTGAAGGCTGTTTGAGCGAATTGGCAACCCGGATTATTCTGAACTGCAAAGGTTCAGCATTCTCCAAGCTGCAGCTTCAACAGCAGGAGCTTCTTGCAGGCACAGTTGGCAGCGTTCGCCAGATTGTGGAGATTGTTGGAGGCCAGTTTTGGCAAAGTCAAGATTGAGAAGAAGTTCGATATCGTGGAGGTGCACGCAGAAGCCGGACGAGAGTTCGGATTCGTATTTGGCGCGGGCAGAAGTGGTCTGGACTGAACTGTTGATCAACTTAGCAGAGGTTCAGGCCTACATCATTCTGAGAGGCAGCAAGCTCTCCATGGAAGACAAAAAGCGGGTCTTGGTAGAGTCCGGCGCCGAGAAAGCCGGCGAAGAGCTGCAAATGAAGAAGGACTCAGCAGCGATCCGAATGTTGGGCCCCTCATCCTTTCAAGAGTACACTTCTGGCAAGCTTGACAAAGCCCTCAAGACCTATGATCATCAGGCCTTCGGAGTTGAGGAGACCGAAGAGTTTGCGGGAAGCCGAGGATCCCATGGAAGAAGAGACCCTAGAGGCCCTTGCTGCTGATGATGATGATGATGATGATGATGATGATGATGATGCTTCCTTGATCCTCCAGGTTCGAGAATGCAGTACTCGACGCCGTCCAAGAGGACAAGGAGCTGGCCACGTACTACGTGAGTTGTCAAGACGCCAGACGGCGCCTGTTGGACAAGTCTCGATCCCGAGGCTTCTGGCCATCCAAGACCCTCAAAGTGGGGGAAAGAAGGGCAAAGGAAAAGGATTTAAAGGAAAGTCCACAGGACTAGCTCAGAGGATCGCGAACTCAGCCTGCAGACCATGCGGCCAGACTGGAAAGCCGAGTGCCCGACACGCCAAACATCAGGAAGTGCAGAGCCGAACCAGATTCCGACCTCCTTCGTGGTGAACCTTGAGAGCTGCCTACAGGACATTCCGGAAGTGATCTCAGAAACTCAGAACCAAGAAACAGAGTTTTGTTTTGCCGCGTTTGATCACTCGAAGAGCCGTCTCCGTGAGTCACTTCGTACCAAGCTTCGCAAGATTCCGGCGCTAGGAAGCCAACGATCCACCCGGCTCGTGAGCCCCAACCGTTCTTGAACCCATAACCTGTTTGCTTCCCAAGGTTCAGTAGGAGTAGTTGATTTGGGAGCGTCGCAAACAGTTAAGGGCAGCAATCAGGTTCCTGAATTGTTGAGCAACTTGCCCAAGGAGATTCGCGCACAGGTGAAGAAAACATCCTGCCATCTAGTTTTTCGATTTGGTAACCATCAAACTACGCTGACCAGCAAGGTGGCCTTGACAGTGCGCAGGACTTGGTTTCGCAAAGCGATTGTTGCAGGCCAAACACCGTTCTTACTGTCCAATGCATTCCTTAGGACCATCCAAGCTGTCATCGACACAGAAGCCAGTACTCTTTGGAGTAAAGCTCTAGGAAGGTTTTGACGACCACCAAATCAGCCTCAAACCTCCTAACGTCAATCAATTGTAGCCTCAAGACATCCTCGCTGTCCAAGACACCGTGCAGGTACAGGGATCCCAGATGATCCATTCGATTCGACCGCCGCCGCTTGAGTCAAAACAATCAGATGCCGTCCAGACGTCCGAAGTGAAGACAGAACAGTGTTTTCTAGGCCACCCCATAAGCCGATGTCTCAGGGCATTAAGACCAACCAATCCGAAGTCGAAAATCCTGAGTCTCAAACAGTTCAGCCAAGTAATCTCAGTCAAGGCAGTCTCGAGGCGAAAGGTCTGTTCGATCAGTCACCAACCCTAGAAGCTCGTGAGCTCTCAAGACCGCATTCAGCCTCCGACCGTTCGCAGTATCGACCACGTCCAGCCTCAGTCAGAAACTGGCAATGTTCCAAGAGGAAGTCAAGAAAGAACACCAACAAGAAGAACTTCAGGGCATCGATCAGATCCCGCTGGAAGAACTCAAAGCGATGCGCATCAACTTTGGCAAGGCCAAAGTGGGCTTGACCTCCGAGGAGACCTTCGCGGATCAAAGCTGGACAAAATGGTTTGTCAGCGCCTACGAAAACAGCGAGAGAAGCGAGCGTCGCAAGTTCCTCCGCTATGTGTCTCTCCGAAGGAACGGCCCCATCGACCACCATCAAGACCAAGAAGAACGAACCATACCTGCGCCTTTCTGCTCAGAGCTCCGATTTGGGACAAGGAGGAGCACCATCTGGAGGAAATTTTGCCCCATCAAACTCAACAGGATTATCGCATGAGCCGCATCGAGAATCCAGCACTTGGAGCAGAAAACCGTCGGGAACCAGGAGCCACAAACTTCATGGACGCTGGTCAAGGAGGAGGAACACAAGTGAATCGGGCAGTGTTAGAGCACATATGCGAGCTGAGTGAGGCCGCCAATGTTGTCGGAGATGCCAAGTTTGACTTCGATTTTGCAAGTGCCAACCCACAGCATTACAATCGACAATGTTTGAAGTATCTTCGACAGTTTCGAGAAGAATACCTCCAAATCTCAAGCATCATCAAACACATTTTCTGTTTGAAGTTTGAAGTCATGTGTTCCAAAGAAAGCGAACTCACTCGACAAGGGCTCCAGCAAGGACTCCTGGTCAAACGCTTCGGCCTTGAAGAAGGAGATTTAAGCACCACGGTAGGACGCCGAAACCTGTTTTGCCAGCCCGCGATCGACCAGTCCCACCTGTGGACCATGGTGCCAATGGTCTGGTCTGAATATGAGCAAAAGCGCAATGTTTCGAGATACAATCCTGAAAAATCGGGAAGAGAACTTATGGCAGATCAGTTTGACTAGATTTTTGTGTGAGCATCAAGTGACACATGACCGCCACTTTCATTGTGAACAACCTCAAGGTTCGCACATGCTTAAGCTCCCATGTTTCCAGCCAGCTCTGAGCCGAACGAAGCCAAGCACTTTTGACCTTTGCCGAGTTGGAAAGTTGAGAGAGCCTCAACCCCAAGAGCCCATTCGTTAGGGATTGACAGCCTGCGCTACATCTCACACCCTGTATCAAAACCTCCACAATAGGAAGTGCAATGAGTCTCATGCACGCCTTCAAATTGCCGGGTCAACCAACTTTTTTCAGGGTCAACGCATGTCATTGTCCAGTTTCACTGAACTGTACCCACGAAAGTTTGCACGGCAAATCATCCAGCGCCCAGAGAAAGCCCATCCAATGTTGATCAATGCAGCCGAGCGAATCCGAAGAAGATCATCCCACCAAACGTCGTCGGCTAACCCAGAAAAGCAACACCATGCAGATCCAGCTAATAGCCGATCCTTCATGGGAGAATGTCATGAAAGATGTCAATGTAGAAGCGTGTAGAGTAGGTAAGGTTCAACAGTTACGTTATGTCCCCAACAGAAGGTGCATCATCTTGTACTTTGCCGAGGCGTGGGCAGAATGGTTGGCCCAAACATGCGCCTGTTCTCGGGAGACGCGCCGCCGAGAAAGTTCGTGTGGATTCGTAGGAGATTCGAAGAAGTAGTGGTTGAGGACCAGTGGGAACCTTGGGAAAGTCTCTCTGCGCGGAAGATGCGTCGACCGCGCTCACCGTCACGGTGTGGATTGACAATCTTTGCGCCTTGCTTGATCCTTCGAACCAAAAACGGCCAGGGGACTAGTTCAGCCTGAGATCCCTCCGGAAAGGGACGTCTCGAACCCAGTCGTGCCTGTGTCGGAGTTGAACCCTGAAGAGAATCTTAAGAAAGAAGACCTCGACTCCATGAGACAAGCCATTGATCTTGTAGCCGACAAACATGGACCAAAAACGTTAGACCTCAAACCGGAAGGTCGCAGTTGGATTCTCAAGGTGCACAAGAACATGGGCTGCCCAAGTCCCCTCAAAGTGAAGCATTTTTGTCAACAGCTCGGATGCCCCCAAGGCATCCTGGATGCCATTCCAGATTTGAGGTGTTCAACATGTGCCGAAACCAAAAGCCAAGTGCCATACATGCTGACCTTGACTTTGGGGATATCGTAGGCATGGATGGTATAAAATGGACCAATCACGCAGGACCAAAGCCATTTTGTTGATCATGGTACCACCTTTCACACTGCCGTTGGTTCTCAAAGATGGGCAGGCCCCCCGGGCGCTTTGGTCGTCGATGCTGGAACAGAATTCGGCGCAGAGGCTTTTGACCAGTTCTTGCAGGAACACGACATTGTTGGACTTCGAATGATCGCTCCCGAAGCCCACTGGCAAAACTGTAGAGTTGAAAGACACGGGGGTATACCGCAATCCATTCTTGACAAGATGGACCAAGAGAAACCGATTGAAACGGAAGAAGACTTAGAAGAAGCTCTATCGTTCGCAACACAAACTAAGAATAAATGGTCCAGATTCAAAGGATATCCTCCAGAAATGTTGGTCTTCGGCAAGCTCAGTAAATGTCCCGGGCCCAATTCCAGCGATGATTCAAGTGCACCTCACGAACTCGCGCTATCCGAATCGCCAGAAGGTGTCAAGTTCCGAGAACGGCTGGCGGCGGGCCAGGAAAGCCTTCTACTCAGTAGACAATATGCAAGCCCTTCACCGTTCAGTGTCTCAACGGTCTCGTCCACAGCGGACTGTTTATCGCCCACAGGATTGGGTAATGGCATGGAGAAAAGATAACCACTGGTTCGCCCCTCTGAAAGTCATTGCGCAAGAAGACAGCGCGTCCCTTGCCAGCTGTCGAAGACGTGAAGAACCTACATAAGTCCAGTCCTGTCACACGCAGAGTGCTTTCGACCAACTGAGAGCTGGAAACACCCGTTTTGTAGACCTCTCCAATATGAAAGGAAATCCAATCTCAGAAGCCAATCAAGACCAACCTGATCAAGAACCAGGTCCTGCCGAAAGTTCAGCCCCATCTCAACCAAGATCAGACACGGAATACACACCATCAATTCCAAACGAAGAAACAGAAATCAATCCACAAATTCCAGCTCCTGAGAACATTCAATTCCCATCCCTGTGGATGATTTGAGGTGGACATCAGTCGTACAGACCTAGAGATGTATGATCCCAGACCAGAAGAAATGGCCTTTGTAGTTTCTGCCGCAAAGAGACAGAAAACAGAAGTCACATTGTCAACCCTCAGTCCCGCCGAGCGCAAGCTCTTCGATGAAGCTAAGGACAAAGAACTCCGGAGTTGGTTGGATACCCAAACAGTCTGTCGATTCCCGAGACATCGAATCCCAAGAGAAAACATCTTGAAGTGTAGATGGATCTTAACCTGGAAAGACTCCGAAACCAAACTCGCACCTTGGGGCTGATTGCAAGAACCAACACCCGCAAGGCCAAAGCCTGCTTGGTGATTCTAGGGTAGCAGGACCCAGAACTCAGTAATCTGGAAAGGGACAGCCCGACGTTGTCCAAACTGTCTCGAAGCCTGATTTTGCAATCGTGTCCAACCAATGGGTCATAGGCAGTTTCGATATCAAAACAGCATTCCTCAGAGGACGGGCTGATGAACGGACACTTGGAGTAGACCTGACAAGAAAATAAGAATTTCCAACCCAATGAAGTTTGCCGTCTTTTGAAGGATGCTTACGGTCTAGTGAACGCACCGCTTTTGTGGTTCAAAGAACTGTCCAAGGCCTTGACAGAACTAGGTTTTCGGACGCCTCACTCGCGTCAGAGAAGCATCAATCCTCTCACCAAGGACTGATGACCATGACTTCCCACCAAGATATTGGAAAGAACAAACGAAGTGTGGTCAATCCACTGATTTGGGCATCTGCTAAAAGGGGCTATGGACCTCTTGGCATGGTGCCGCTGGGGTTGGCTACTCGGTCAATCATGCCAATGGAGACTAGGTGACAAGAGCCTAGCGCGCTGGCCCCCGGCCTTTTCCGCTTTCGAAGATGAACCCAAACTTGAACCAGATCCAAATCAATCACTAAGTGAAAATTTGTTGAAGCTTCGGGTAATTGGAAAATCAGACTCCCTGGTTGCAACCGATTGCAAAAGCTTGTATGATCTAATCAGCCAGACAGCGCCGCCAGCATGCCAAGAATTTAGGACACTCCTCCGAGCTCGCCTCATCAAAGAACACTTGGCCACTGGGGTCAGTGTAAGATGGGCACCATCGAGTGCTTGACCAAGGTTATGGATAGCTCCACTCTTCGAGAAGTCATGCAAATAGGACGATACCAACTGAAAGACGAAGAAGAAATCCTTTGAAACAGATCTGATAGAAAAGCTCGCATGAATGGGTTTCGTAGCCACGAGCTCCAGTCGCAGCGCACCGTGGATGATGTGAAAAGCCAAGCCGTCCCCATCCATGTGAGTGTGTGCAAGTAGTCGTCCGACCCTCCGGTAATTAAATAGATTGCAAGCTCATTTTGATGTTTGTGATGTGTGCACCTCCATGCCATACTGGGTCAGCGAAGACTGCACAAGCACTTGAATCTCGCTTAAGGGAAGTAGATTCAAAGCAGGGATACTGCCAATACTCCGTGGAGTATTTGCCTTGCAGTGGAAAGCCGGTCCAGTATGCTAGGTGTTTTTGCTCATCAGATCGCAACTGTCCACGGGGAACATGCTGGACAGCCAATGATTTGGCGACACTTCGGAGCCATCGGTGGACAGCGCAGACCTCGATCGCAGGGCGATTCGACCAGGAAAAGGTCTGCGCTGGGCTGGCTACGGTGGAGACGGTGCGGGGCACCTTTTGAGCCAGGGGTTCAGGAACCAAGGTGTAGAATTCAGTTCATTGCTTGATTAGCGATTGAGCCCTTCACTCCGGATAGTTCTCGGCTACCAATCTCGAATCGTGGAGATTCGAAGAATACACACTATAGAAATATACACAATACATGCGTGCAAGGATATGCAAGGTGTTACCATGCGACTGGGCAGACCACGCCTTCGATTCCACATGGGGCCCAAGTCAGTGCGTAACTCGTTGCACTTCGCTTTGAGCTTCTCAAGCTTCTCAGCCATCCTGCCATCCAGGTTTTCTTTGTTTCGACTTGTCCGTTTCCTGCTAAGTCGCGGAGGGTTTCGTCGATGTTTCACTCCCGTAAAGCCTTCACTTCCGGAGTTGGTGGAGTCACGCACACTTGGAGGACTTGCGTGAGCAGATTTACCAGCGCTGCTGGATGGTGGGAGCTGACGATCCACCTGGAATGGCAGGTGCCTGCAACATTGTTTGGGGGGGGCACGGGGGTCCGAAACCTCCTGGGTGGATCATCGTTTACCCGTTCTTGCGTGAAACGCACGCAGAAGGCATTGCCCGGCGCCCATGCCAGGCATCGACCGCAGTCGAAGCCCTGCTCGAGCGCTCCGGAGTAGGCAGCCGAACGACCGGGGGTGGTTTGTCCGAACCCGAACGCCCTGCTTCTACAGACCGAACGCTTTTTTGGGGTCCTGGGCCTACCTTTTTTTTGATAATTTTTGAAGCGATATTTATTGACAGATCTGCATGTCGCACTGCCAGTGTGCTGAATGTCATTATGGAATCTCTTCTGAACACCTCACGTGTATTTGCAAGCAGAGTCGAGCCAAGGTCACTTAGTCGAACCAAGGCACAAATCTAATTTTTGGCGACCTTTTTGCTCTCCCCGGTGGTCTTCGTGAAAGATCACAATCCATTAAGAGGTGCTGTTCCTTTTCCTTCGTGGTACCGGGTGGAATACAGCTTGAGTGGCCCTAAATCGTTAAGCATGTGTTTTGGCTGATCGCTCAACTGGAGCGATCGCTCACTGTTCACATGGCAAACAAGGGTTCAGCTCAGCGAGGCCCGGCGCATGTTTCAAGCAGCAACGCCGCAGGTGGGCCCGCAAGTGGAGGAAAGCCATGGCAGCGATCCTGCCATCGGGCGAGGCAGGAACCTTCCGACAGCACCGCAAAAGCGCTGTTGCTCATCAAACTTACCATGGCTGTGTATTTCAATAGGCAGTGTTACATAGTATGAACCGTGACCCCATGTGACCCCAATGTTACCCTCCACACCCACAAAGACCCAACACTGCAGCGTTTCCTGTCTACTCAGGACACTGCAGCCCCCGCAGCGGATCCCGAGGTGCCAACACGCCAAGCCGGGCCAAATGCTGTTTCTGATCACGAGATCCTGAGGCCACAAATCGCTTTTACACACATTTTTTTACTTGTGTGAGGTCAAGAAGTTGGCTCATGTGATGTGGAAGGCCGGGTCTTCGTCATCTTTAGTCTGGTCTTTTGCACCTGGATTAATGAACCGGGTCCAGTGAACCCAGCAGAACAGAACGGGGTCCAATCAGACCCCCATAGATTAGTTTAGACCCTGAAAGAAATTCAGACATTGGAAGACCGATTTCCCTTTCAAGACCTGTGTTCGATGTGAGTTTGCACGGGTTGTTTCAGATCTTGAGCTTGAATCCTCAAAGTACAGCGCCTCGCAAACAAGCTTTTCATTTGCATCTTGCAAGTCAAAGTGCGCTACTGTAGCCGTGCTTGATGGATTGCATTGATTTTCATCAAGACTGACAACTACTGTATAGTACAGCAGCCTATAGTACCCATATAGTGCAAGGAGGCCATCTCATAGTGCGAGGAGATGCGAGGAGTATAGTGATCTTCAACAGGATAGGCCACATAGTGCAGCCCATCTCACACTCTTCAGTGCCAGGACATTGTAGCGGTCGCAGAGAGGGAGCCACACGGTTCAGGGCCAAAGCGAGCCCTGGGAGCCTTGGCGGTCGACCAACGGATTGGACGTTTAACAAGAGAACAATGGTAGAACAAATAGGAGAAGTCCATTGGTCTAATTGGATGTCCAAGCTCTGATCCAATTGATTGCTCAGTATTTTAATCCCATTGCACCTCCATGCTCCTGCCATGTATGGGGGGGCCCCACCAGGTTTGGATGGGTCCTGCAAACAGCAGCAGCCGGCCTTGCATGGTCACGGATGGCGGTCACGATGGGTATCGGCTCCCGTACTCCTGGAAGTCCAAAATGCTTACAAGTGGTGGATTATGATTACCAGTTTTGGGGAAAAATGAGTCATTGACACTTCTGGATATCAGATTCGTCCAAAACGAATCCATTAGGATTTCTCCATTTCTCCTTCTGCCTTTTTGGTCTTCGGACAAGGCATCCATTTCAGCGGCGGCTCAGCAGCTCAGGACTCTTCCGCGCGGAGCATCACTCTCCGGCGACCTTCGGCCGGTCTTCGGCGAAGGACCGCCCTTCGGTCGAGGCGACGGAGTGGTGCCGGGAGAGCCCAGGAGAGAGCGGGACGAGATTCTTGGGGTACGAGGTACTGCAGGTCGACCGCAAAGCATGAGGCAACGGATTTTTGGTAAACAGGGGTAGTAAACGTTTCTCCGGGCCCTTAGCTCAGGCTTTATCCCAAGCTCTGACATCTTCCTGGTCGTTGGAGAAGACTTGATCGGTATGACGCTCGAAGGTCTTGGGCTCAGGTGCGATGGGCGGCCTCGGGTCCCATGAAATGCTTGGTGCCTTGGTGCCCAAAGACCCGACTTCTCACGATGCCCTTTGTTACGTTCGTAGCTTCTTGTTACTAGCAGCAATGGCCTCCACCGAAAAGCGCCCTTGTGATCTCCTCTTTCTTTGAGGAGTCCAGACCAGAGCGAAGAGTGTGGTTTGTTGTAGTACGGCTGTCAAGACTTTTTGTCAAACAGCACGGCGAATCTGAAAGGCTCGCACAGTGTGGTTTTGCAAACTGGGAAAGAAACACTGCCAGTGCCAGTAAGTATGGAAGGCAATCCTTGCTCAGTGCTCAGACAAAACGGAAAGAAGCAAACTTTTTTTTAAGAAAGATGCAGGACGAATACAAGTCTGCTGATGTCAAAGATCTGCACAAACATCTCATTTGATCTCGATGTTTTTTCTTTTTCCTGGTGTTCAAACCCGATGACTTGCGCGAAAGCAACAGTTTGTTTTATATACAAACAGCAAAGCTGTATTCTTCTGCAGAAGCTAAAGCTTCTTGATTCCAAGATTGAACAAGTCTGCTTGGATCGTTGACGGAGTGCTCGAGGCCTTTTTGCTGACAATGCTCCTGGCCAGAAGAGGATCGACATTGGACGGGGTTGGACAGTTGACTTAGCCACCCTTGGTGTCCACATGCAACCGAAATGCCAGGGTGACCACATGTATATCATACATTTTGTTTTGTGGATCTGCCGGAAAACGATGTCTGTGGATGCCACACCACCCGCTCCGGCTCCAGGCTAAGCTTAGCTGAGTGCTACAGGAGCGCGTTTTGGTGGGGAGGTCACTCCGTGACAAAAAAGAGTTCCACGGAGCTTGCACGACGTGGCACGACATGGTTCTGCTATGATCCATGATTAGATCTATTTATGTTTGTTGGCAATTATGATCGATGACCCATGATCGAAGCCGCAGCTTCAAGAGCGCTCGCTTTCAATCCGAGGCCGAAGGAGTCATATGTCAACCCGCCAAGCCGAACGCAGGAAGAGAGATTCCCCTGCTCCAAAAGCTGCTGTGGCCCGGTCCTGCTTGATGGGGGCCGGATGTAGACATCCGGATCCACACACATCATGCTTTCCTTTCGAAAAGACTGTATGACTATACATCGCAGGTCACTCACTCAGAGGCTTTGTCTATGGTCTCCAAGCTTCATGCTTTGTAGGTGTCCGTGTGGCTGGTACTTCTAAGGCAATCCCCCAAAAGCCCTAAAGCACCTGAGGGCCAATGCTCTTTGCCAGGCTGTGAACCAAGCCCGGCCAAGCAACGGACAGGCCTGTTGTTTTGGACCTTTGCGCATTCGAATTGAAGCAAGTTGCACGTTTCTGTGTCAACCTTTATTGCAAGCTCACCGGAACCACACTGCAAGCCACAGTGTAACGATGACGTCTTTGCTGCGAAGTGCATGAAGCTTTCGAAATCCTTTTGGTGCCCGTTCTCAGCCTTTTATGATGCCCACGGAGTTGGAACTGATTGGGGGCTCTCCCGAACCCAGCTATGAGTAGTGAATGTATGAATGAAGTTCCATTTTTGCGAATGAGGATTGCCCGAAATTCCAAACGATACTGAAGCCATGCACCGAAGGCTGCTCGAATCCTTTCATCATCTAAGAAGGTAGGGTGTCTTTTTTCCATCTGCTTGGCTCCTTGTAAAGGTGCTGCAAGTGGTGGAAGACGTTGTAGAGGCCGGGGAAGGAGGTTTCGAACCAAGCGTACAAGAGTCATCTTGTAGGTAAACGACTTAGATGGTTTTGCCAAGGATGTGAATGAAAGACCATTTCCAGTGCTACTTTGGGAGTGTCCATTTTAGGGACCCAATTGCACATCGGATTGTTTTTGCGCAAGAAGAACTTTGACCAACCTCCCACATTTCGCATTGTCGTCCATTTTCTTACATCAACAAGCACTTTGCGTTTGCAGGTCTCCCCAGAAGAGGAGCCTAAGGCCTGGGCTTGGGGCTGGAACAGCCGCGCTGCGAAGAGCGAAGAGCTCGAAGTCGCACCAATGGCAGAACCGAAAAGGGACGGATTCCCCACTCCTTCACCACTCGAAAGGATAGACATCACTTGGAAACGACCCGACAAGCTTAGACAGTACAAGGAGTAATTGTTCGGAACCAAAAAGTCACTCTGATGCATTCGAAAGAACACTTTGGAATGCTCGTGAAAGAACACGTTTTCGGGGCTCCTGGGGCCCATTCCTCGCTGCCACGTTCCAAGCTCGTGGGGTTTCGACACGTCCTCGCCGTACAGACACCGGACTGCTCAGGTGTCGGAGCCGACGTTGTCGGATCTCCTGGGCCTGGGCCGATGATCCGATGAGGAAGTGAAGGACCATGTTTTTAATACGATTGTATACAATTGTTGAAACTGAAGGAACTGAAGGAACCATTGTTGACACAATGTTTAATTCAATTCAATGTTTGTCATTCCTCCCACACCCCGGACATATGAAAAAAAACACATAATTCAACGTATGACTTACAACACGGACCTTTTTTTCCGTGTAGCTGGTCGACGAAGGTCCGTCAGATCCGTTAGGTCGGATCGGAGACCCATTCCATCCGTCCAGGACATCTCCTTGCTTGACTGGCTGCGAGCGCTCGCAAGACCATGCCATTTTGCAAAAAAAGGATGTGGGTGCTCCGAAAACAATCAAAAACAAGACCCAAGGCTTAGGCCACCAACAGGGTGTTCAAAACTCGAGAGGTGAACATCGCTACGAAAACTCTTCTTCACTCCTTTTCTTCTTTTTCGTGCGTGAAGGCTAGGTTCTTTTTGGGTGTGCTTTCTACTACGTGTTGTCATGCTTGGACCCACAGACCTACAGAATTCCTGTTTCTGCCGCATTTTCATACGATTTCAGCCGTTAGTCTGGTTGATCTCGTGAACGGTCGGGAGGCCTTTGTCAGATTGGGAATTGGAAGCAGCTTGGTCAGGGATCTCAGGCTGAGGGCTGAACCAAACACCGGCTGAAGCAGCGAAACCAGTCAGCCCTTTCATTGCAGGTCTTTATTTGGTATAGAAAACACAAACTGTTTTTCTGTTTCTTTTTTCTTTTCCTGCTCATGGTAGAAAGTGACTCAGAACGCTTGTTTTTCATGCGTCCAATTGCAGAATGAGATGTGAGATAGCTTCAAATTCCAGACATGATGCTCAGCTGCAGTGATGTCCACTACTTTGCCCAGTTGATCCTGTAGCTGCTATCTCATAATCGGCAAGAGGCTTACCCACCAGCTTTTGCTAATTATCAAGGAACATTTGACTCATTCATGTTCGAGCGTTGCCCGCCGAGGAATGAACTTCAAAACCGGCGGCTTCCGAACATGGAGGCCCGGGAGTGTAGAAAGGAGCCACTGGCAACAGTGACGGGACGGAGGTATGGCATGAACGTTTTGGATTCTTTCTTTACTGACATCGACGGAAAGTCATGTTGGTCAAAGACCGAAATGCCATACCGGCCATACCCGGTATGGCCCTGACAGGTCCCAACTCAGGTGCGCCAGTCCGAAAAGAAAGCATGCTCCGCCGACACCGAGGCCTGTAGATGGATTGTGTCCAGCCCTGAGATCTGACAGCATCAGCGTGGTTGTGGCAGGATCGGAGGAATTTTGTTTGACAGGCTTTGTCTGACTTTCATGGCCATTCAGTCACTCTGCTTCGCAGAGAGTCTGTCCACCAAAAAACCTGCTGAGTTCCTCTGTGATCAAGCTCTACTCCAAGGAGAATGGCTTGCATTGCTGCTCGTGGGTATGGGTGGTTCTTAGAAAGCCAAGGATTTCCAGCCTTTCTCAATCAATGTGGGTGACTGACACAAGATTCACACAGATAAGCGTTTTTGTCCATGATAGTTCCGTCTTAGAGACTTGTGCCGGAAGGAACACTTATATAAAGTCTCAAATTGTAGAACTTGGTACCTGTCACAAGGCACTGTTTTCTCGGTGACCAATAGCTGCTTTCCACTCTGGATGAAGGCTCCATGACCATCGAATCTGAGACTGATCGCCCGAGCCAGGAACAGAACGTGGTCTTTGTGCCAAAACCAGAGGCTGGTGCCAGGCTGGGCACGACACCTGAAGCAAGCGACGGGCGTTTCACGCCCGATTTCAAGGGCCAAACACGGCCACAAAGACCCACGTGCTTCACCAATGTCCGTGTCCTCTCAGACTCACCAACATGCAATTTTTGACTGACTGACCATGTCCAACAGCTCAAGAGCTCAACAGCTCACCATGTTCAGGACTTGACATCTTGGTGAGACATGCAGGCAGACTGCTTTTTGGCTCAATCTTGATGTCTTGGAATGCACATCACAAAGATTAACTGCCAAAGCAATACTAAGTATCCCATGTTAACATGCACATTCCTGACCCCTTTGAACACACTTCAAGCAATTATCACAACCAAACCAAAAGGGCCGGGTACAGGCCTTGGGTACAGGCCTTGCCATGGCTCACAGGGAGCGGTGACGTCCGATGGCAACATGGCACCGCTTGAGAGGTGGTACAAGAAATGGGAGACTTTGGAGGATGATTCTGATGAGCAGAGTGTGGCAAAGTCGAACCACGCGAAGGACTGCGGCTCGCTGCCTTTGAAGCATTTGCCACCCGATGTGGCTGAAGCCCTGCAACAAGAGAAGCATCCTGAACAGCGCGAAGCACTGCTGGCGTTGAATAGTTTCATTGCTGAGCTTCATAAGCCACCTCGTTCGAGTCCAGCCAGTCTGCAACGCTTGCTACCATTCTTGTCGAACTCCTTGCGAGGCTTGAAGGAAGGTGGCGAAGTGGAAAGACTTTTGTGGCAGGTGCATGCCATTTTACACCATCCAAAGGTCTCACATAGGAAACTGGAGGAATCGGCTGGTGCTTGTGCCCTTTGTGCCCTCCGTGACCAAGAGGATTCCGCCACGCTTTCTCGTCTTGATTTGAGACTGGTCTCGACGATCCTTCGATCGGTCACAGATCGCATCCATGAGTTTTCAGCGTGCAGCTTGGCCCGCACTGCTTGGTCGGCAGCTGCGCTGAAACATTCAAACAACTCGCAGAATGCGCATTTGTCTCATATGCACAGCTTGCATATTCAGGATTCGGCGTCGCTCCTTTTGGAGAAGGCGTTGCAAAAGGCGGAAGATCTCCTCCCTCACTTCGTCGCAGAGGACATCTCGCTCTTGGCGGTCTGCTCAACAGAATCCCCCAGCGGTGTAGAACTCTTGAGGAAACTGAATGCTCAGGACGACAGGAAGACAGAAGAGCCCAACAAAGAAGAGCAAAGGACAAAAGGCAGGAGGAATCTGGAAGAGCAATGGATAGGAAGCAAGAAGCATTCTGTCTTCTCTGATGGCTCTCGCTGGAATGAATGCTTGGAAGCCTGGCAAGCTTGTCATGAACCCAAAGCTCCTTGCAAAGCTTCCGGCAAAATGGCCGAAGTTAACGAACTGCCCAGTCTGCCCCAACCCATTGCTTTCATACCTGTGGACTAGGACAGTGACTGAGAGTATCTGTGGATCTGCTCAGGGCAACAACTTTACTCTTCTCCTCGAGTGCAGGCTTGGAGGTACAAGTCGTAGGAGGTGCCAAAGGGATCCATTTGCATCCAATTGCACATTTTGCCGCAACACATTTCGGGGCATGACTCCTAACATTGGAGCCTTTACCCAAGTGAAAGAAGACGCGGCTCTTGATTTGTTCAAAAAAGATCGCATGCTGGCTGTCGGTCTGCCAAGATCAAAGCGGATAGGACATCCAAAGATTCCATAGGAGATCATGTCATGGGAGAAATCATTGGGAAATCGATAAGAGCATCAAACCCAAGCAATCTATTATGCTGAAACCTGGAATAGCAATTTCTTGTTGAAACGGACCGGTCCTTAGACCTGTTTACCAATGTGACTTCGTACCATCTCGTACCGAAATAGGGGGCAAGGCTTTGCTTTGCCTGGAACCAGGTAAACAACACTCTTTTCTGGCTATGTTCCATGAAACGGGTTTGCGACGGCTTTGTCTCAATGTAGGAAAGGCCACTTATATAGTCAAAGCGACCGATGATTCCGTTGGGTGAAGGCCCTGTGGGTGTTGCAGTCGCCGCACGTCTCCCAGTTGGGACGAGGTTCTCCGATCGAGTGTCAACCACCCGAGACGTATCCGGAGAACCCAAGAACAGAGGATTATCGTGGTGGGCGACTTGCATGGCCACTTCTCAGCGCGGCGACCAAGAGAAGGCGACGTCGATAGCTGGGGGATGTAACGACCAGACCAGAGGTGGCCGGCACATGCGTTCCTGGGCCCAGCCGCTGGGAACAACGGAGAGAGGGGGAGAGAGAGAGAGAGCTCAGAAGGTTTGTTCAGGCTGAAGCCTGTCGCGGCTGTGCGTGTCTGATGGCCGAAGCAAAGAAACAAGATGGAGCCCACGAACCCGAATGCAAACACGTTCCATATGCCCAAATGACACTCTTGTAGGACACTCTTGTGAGACACTCTTCTGGGACATTCTTGTGAGACACTCTTGTAGGACACTCTTGTAGGAAACTCTTGTGGGTCACTCTTGTAGGACACTCTTGTGGAGCACTCTTACAGGACACTCTTGTGGGACACTCTTGTGGGACACTCTTGTAGGACACTCTTGTGGGACACTCTTGTAGGACACTCTTGTGGGTCACTCTTGTAGGAAGCTCTTGCGGGGCACTGTTTTGGGAAACTCTTGTAGGACACTCTTGCGGGACACTCTTGTAGGACACTCTTGTGGGACACTCTTGTAGGACACTCTTGTGAGTCACTCTTACGGGGCACTTTTGTAGGACACTCTTGTGGGACACTCTTAAGTCACTCTTACACGACACTCTTGTAGGACACTTCTTGTGGGACACTCTTATAGGACACTCTTGTGGGTCACTCTTATGGGACACTCTTGTCGGACATTCTTGTGGGACACTCTTGTGAGACACTCTTGTAGGACACTCTTGTGGGTCACTCTTACAGGACACTCTTGTGGGACACTCTTGTGGGACACTCTTGTAGGACACTCTTGTAGGACACTCTTGTGGGACACTCTTGTGGGACACTCTTGTGTGACACTCTTGTAGGAAACTCCTGTGGGACACTCTTGTAGGACACTCTTGTGGGACACTCTTATAGGACACTCTTGTGGGACACTCTTGTGGGACACTCTTGTAGGGCACTCTTGTGGGACACTCTTGTAGGACACTCTTGTGATCTCTTGTGGGACACTCTTATAGGTTATAGGACACTCTTGTGGGACACTTTTAAGGGACACTCTTGTGAGACACTCTCGTGGGACACGGTTGCGGGACACTCTTGTGGGACACTCTATCTGGGACAGTCTTGTAGGACACACGCTTCGAGGCTGCAAGACGAGCGTTTCGTACGAGACTTCCTCCAAAAGTCACACGTCAAGTCTCCAAAACGAGCGTTTCGTACGAGACTTCCCCGAAATATCACACGTCAAGTCTCCAAAACGAACTACTGCTACTGCTACTACTACTACTACTACCACTCCTGCTGCTACTACTACTACTACTACTGGAGGTTCACAAAGTGCTGCGCCGGCCACGAAATCAGCGCATGGAGGTTCACAAGTGCTGTGCCTGCCACGAAATCGGCGCATGGAGGTTCACAAAGTGCTGTGCCTGCCACGAAAGCTGCACGTGGAGGTTCACAAAGTGCTGTGCCTGCCACGAAATCTGCGCATGGAGGTTCACAAAGTGCTGTGCCTGCCACGAAA